TGGGAGGGAACCTGAAGCCCCAGGATTTAAAACTGTCCCTCACTGCTCAAATGTAATGACGGAAACAACAGACCAAAACAGCATTCTTCAGCGCTTGCAATTCTCTAGCTGATGGTTTGCGAGGGAGCCCCAGAGCGGAGCTGGAATGTCAAGAACCGCGCCAGCTGAGCAGCTGGGGTGATGGCGCTCCACCGGCCGCCTTCAGTAACCAGAAGAAAAGCGAGTTCTGAGGTGGAGGGAAGACGAGGGGTGTGTCCCTGGGCGGCTGCCCTCCACCTCTCAGGCCTAGTCCACACTACGGACAGCACGGCTTCCTGGGTTATCCTTAACCCCAGCGTGCTGACCGCCTAGGCAGGGCTTACAGGCCAGTGCCTAGTGGGGGCAGAAGGTGCCAGCGAGCCAGAGTCAAACGCCCCTTTCCAGGGGTATAGAAGCAGTGGGCGCTTCCCATGCCAGAGAGGGGCCGTGCGGAGGAAGGCTGAGTCAGGATGCGCTGGGGCCCCCCGCGGGCGGGGGCGGGGACAGGTGGAGGTGACCTCCACAGGGTCGGGTCGGGAGGTAGCTGGGGAGGGGTGGGGGAGGGGGCGATGGAGGGGTCCCTACGAGGCCTGGGGGCCTCCGGAGCGCGACCCCCGGACACGGCACAGCGTGGTGATCGCGGGGTGACCCCCGGACAAGGGTCAGCTGGGTGTCCCCCGGACACAGCGCAGCGCTGTGGTGATCGCCCGCACTTTCCGTCAAGGTCGATGTCTGGGCACCCCCGCCTGCCTCTCCTCCATCTGCAGGGGAAGGCGGGCACGGAGCCTGGTGGGGTCCCCGGGCCCGAGTGGACCTAGCCAGCAAGTGTGCGGGGTCGGGGCGGGGGCGCCGCTGCTCGAGCGCAGCTTCAGTCCCGTCTTTCAGCGACTCTGGCCCGGACCGCGCTTTAGACCGGCCCCTTTGGCACACCCCGCCCCACTGGGTGGCCGGGACCGCGGGGATGGTGCGGGGATCGCAGAGCAGTCCGCGGGCGGAGTCAGGACCGAGGGTGGGGGAAGCGCTAGCCAGGTGAGCACAGGTGTGAGTGGTCCTTGTGAGCGCGGGGTCCTATTTGGAAGTGGATATTAGAGATGAGAAATTCCGTTTTGTGAAGTGAAACATCACGGGTTTAAAGCTTGGAACCCACCCCAGCCTTTGCTATTTGACTGACTCTATCCCTGGCAGTATGTGGTTCCCATGTTTCAAAGAAAGAACTGGAAAGATTCATCAATCTCCAAAGATTTCAAATAGCTCTTTTAAAAGCACTTTGATGGTTTCAATGCAGACACATGAATTACATATTCCTTAAATTACACAGGGTTTTAAATCTAAGGGAAAATGCCTTTGGCAGGATGGATTGGCGTTTTTGTCTTCTGTGCGTGTTTTAAGTGTGTGTAATACATGTATTCAGGTGGATGATGGAAAGAGGAGAGGAGGCATCAGGTGCAGGAGACTAAGGCTTCCTGCCACCTGGTCCTTGCCCCCCCCACCCCAACCCCCCATCATCCCCAACTCAGGAACCCCCCACCTCACTCACCCACCCCATGCCCATTCCCCCCACCCCAACCCATCACCGCCACCCCATCACCCCATACCCCCATTCCCCCAACCACCCCATCGCCCCTCCCCCCACCCCCATCCCCACTCCCCCTGCCCCCCCCCACCCCTGCAGCTCTCAGAGCAGAGAAGTGGGACGCACGCGCTGGGCCCTTCGTGTTCCTTCTGGGCAGGGGCGGTGCCACGGCCGCATGTGGCTCCTGAGGGCCCCCCGGGACAAGCCTTCACCTCTTCATGCTGTCTCTACCCAGATCAGTGGTGAATGAATGAATGATGCAAAAAACAAGCAGAGCGATCCCATCTCCACCCTTGGTACACCTGCCGCTTGCCCATGACCTAAAATGATTCACCTTGTCAAGTCTCCCCAGGTCAGACCTTCAGGATATCAGCATCAACCAGACGCCCTCACCTGGGACGGGAGGCAGTTTGGTATGCGGTGAACTCAGGCTTCGGAGTCAGGCCACCGGGGCTTGAATTTCCGCTCTGCCACTTCTTCTCTGGGTGACCTCTTCAAGTCTTCAGGGCCCTCACCTATCAAACAGGATCAGGGTGGTCCCTTAATCACTGGTAGTTGTGAGGGTTAATCTACACACATGTGAAACACTTAACAAAGGCCGGGCCCACGGGCATCTTTAGGAATAAATGGCGGGAGCTCTCTGGTGGCCCAGCGGCTAGGACCCTATGCCTTCACTGCTGAGAGTGCAGGTTCGATCCCTGACCAGGGCAACACGGCCCCAGGAAAGGAATAAATGGTAATCCTAGTGATAGTCAAGACTATGATTTTTCCCAGGAGTCATGTATGGATATGAGACTATAAAGAAAGCTGAGCACCAAAGAATTGATGCTTTTGAACTGTGGTGTTGGAGAAGACTCTTGAGAGTCCCTTGGACAGCAAGGAGATCCAACCAGTCCATCCTAAAGGACATCAGTCCTGAATGTTCATTGGAAGGACTGATGTTGAAGCTGAAACTCCAATACTTTGGCCACATGATGAGAAGAGCTGACTCATTTGAAAAGACCCTGATGCTGGGAAAGATTGACGGTGGGAGAAAAAGGGGATGACAGAGGATGAGATGGCTGGATGGCACCACCAACTCAATGGACATGAGTTTGGGTAAAGTCCGGGAGTTGGCGATGGACAGGGAGGCCTGGCGTGCTGTGCTGCGGTTCGTGGGGTCACAAAGAGTCGGACACGACTGAGCGACTGAACTGAGCTGAGTGACGGTAGCAACGCTAGTGATGGAATATGCGAGGATGATGGTGGTGCTGATGGTGCTGACGGCAGGCACCCCTCAAGCTCTTTTAGCTTCGGGTCTTGGTGTTCTCACCCAGCCCTTCTTGTGACTGTGCCTGTGACCTGTGCCATGAGCTCTGGTGCCCAGGCCGTCTCCTCCCATCACGCTGTACTGATGATGGTTCCCCAGGGTGGGCCTCCTCTTCCTCTCTCGTGGTAAGCCCAGTGGGCAGGAATCAGCCCCCACCCACCCAGCTCTGTAGTCTTGCACAGTGGTAGGTAGCCCCCATCCCCTCCTGGGACCTAAGAGATTCATCTGCTGACGAAGTGGGTGTGTGGACAGGCAGGCGGGCTCTCCTGCCCTGCCTGGTCACGGGGGACTTTGGTGGAGATAAAATGATAAACTATTTCTTAGAACAATACATATGGGAATGAGATTTCCCTAAAAGGGTTTGGGAAGACAGATTTAGGGGTCATGGTTCTTCCAGAGCGCAGAAAACATTGGTGAGCAGGCCCTGGGGATGGGCCAAGTCCACCCAGACAACTTCCTGTTTCCAGCGGCTTCCCTGGAGCCGCTCCCCAGAAAGGAAAGTCCCCTTGAGCATACTTCACCCTCCACCCCAGGAGTCCTTGGTCCCTCTCACCCTCCCCTGACTTGACAATTTTGCTAGTTCCTTATCTGCTTCCTTTGGGAACTTGCTCCTTACATTTGCTCGTTCCTGTGGTTCCTGTTTGCTCAGCCCCTTGGGATTATAAGGATCTGGAGGGCAGACTTGTTTCATCAGATGTCTCCCAAAGCCATTAGCAGAGAGCAGAGGGAGCCTCCGTATTTGGTATCTTGCAGGAATCTAGCATCGTGCTTTGCCCATCCTAGGCGCTGGCTTACTGTGTGCTGAATAGACAAATGCTCGTTGACCAAGGTGAGGGTGCGTGTCATTTTCTCCAGGCAGGCTCCTTCCCAACTCAGGTGGCATCAGATGCCATGTGCTCCCGGCCATAGTTATGTTCAGGTGGGACGGCTGGCAGCTACCCTGTGAGGCGACCCTGGAGGTGAGTCACCTTGCCGCTCCCAGCACGCACCTGTTTTAAACCCAGCCTGAGAGCTCCTGGCGGACCCCTTGCCTCCTCTCGCTCACAAGGAAGCCCCTTGCGATGCTAAGCAATCAATATTATTAGATTTTTTTAAAAAAAACCTAATTCCTCATGTAGTCAGTTTTCATTCCAAATTCAGAAATGCTTCAAATCTCGAAACCCTCCACATCAGAACATCCTGTTAAAAGCACTAACTCTGCATTTTACCCTGTGATTCATCGTGGACTGGGGGGCGGCCGGGGGTGGGGACGGAGCTGGCAATCCCAAGAAAGCGCCACTGTCGCCCTAATCTCTATTACAAGAATGGATGGCAAGATGGGGATTACTGCACCTATAAATCAGCGTTGTGCTCTGGATAATCTAATGCATTTTTCAAGTGTTGTTCCCGCCGCTTGGCACGCACGGAGCCGCTCGGTTGGCACGAAGTTTGCAATCAATCTCTCCTGCCCGCTCCCCACCCAGCCTCGCCACCTCCTCTGAACCTTCCTTGTATTTTATACAGAAACCAGTTTGGATTCCCAGGGCATTCCAGCCAGTAAATGCTCTGAAGATTCATCTTTATGGACTAGTGGCCCAGCCTTGCAGCATCTCAGCTTCTCAAGATGAAAAGCAATTTTATTTGGTGTGTTAGACCGCGAGAGGAGCGGATGCTGGCAGCTTGCTCGGTTCTCCTATTACCGCCCGTGCTCTTCCCCAGAGAGGAGAGACAAGGCCCCAGAGACGGCCTCAAGGACGGGGCCCACAGAAAAATGAGCCTCCTCACTTCCCCTCCTGTTCCAAGGCCCTCCTAGCAGTGCTAGCCTGGCGAGGCTCCCCGTGACCCAAAGAAAGGGGTGGGGATGGGAGTTTACTACAACCCAGCTTGAGTGTCTCAGATGGTCCACGTAAGGACTGCAACCCGGGGCCGGGGAAGAGGGACCAGGGATCCAATAGATTAAGACAGCTGTTGGGGGAAGGGCATGGCCCCTCCAAAGGAAATGAAAACTGTTGCGGTTTCATTTGCTTTAAAGCACGCCCCTCGTAATAAACGCGCATGGCACAGCGAATGTGCTGAGCAAACACCTCGGCCATCATCAATATGCGGGGGCTGTTTATGGCCTCATAAACTTTGGAAGCAAGTGATATTGTCTCTTAAATCAATGGCCTCGCGGACAGCCTTGGCGCTCCAGAAGGACAGGACACCCAGGCCGCGCCGGCACCAAAATGAACGGCTGCAGCGGCGGCTGAACAGTGCTTGGTCACCGCCCCGGGGAGTCAGGAGCCCGTCTGGAGGGTGGGGGGCATCCCGAGCGTGCGTCTGCGGCAGGATGCCGGGCCAGAGCACCTGGGAGGCTGGGGGGCGTTCTCCCCCGGGAGCCCAGCAACCCAGGGCCGCCGGGGTGTGGAAGGAGCTAGTGGGGGTCTGTCTGTCCTTCGGCCTCTACAGACTGTGGGTCCCGGAGGGTGGCCTGAGTCCCTCTGCTTCGGAACCCCAGCCCTCGTATCAGGCCCATTCAGGGAGGCCAGGCAGCCAGGGGTCGGAGGTGGTCATGCAAGTGTTTCTGGGGGTGGATTCTGCATGGAGATATGCCCATGCCGTGATCTCCTGTGATATGCCCGGAGATATGCCCATGCCCTGATCTCCTGTGAACCTGACTTTATTTGGAAAAAGAATCTTTTTTAAAAAATGTTATTTATGTTTTGGCTGTTGCAGTGATTGGGCTTCTCTTACTGCGGTGCACCGGCTATAGGTCACGGGCTTGGTTGTCCCTTGGCGTGTGGGATCTTCCCAGACCAGGGATTGAACCCGTGTTCTCCTGCATTTGGCAGGTGGATTTCCTAACCACTGGACCACCAGAAAAGTCCCTGGAGAAAGAAACTCTTGACATGAGATCATCTTGAATTATATGGGTAGGCTCTGAATCCTGACAAGTGTCCTTAGAGGAGAGAGGCAGGGGGAGGTTTGAGACCCAAGGCAGAGGGCACGACGGAGACATGGAGGCCCTGTGGCCACAGAGGCAGAGAGGGGAGCGTTGTGACTCCAAGCCAAGCGACACCCAGGGCTGCAGGCGCCCCCCCAGAGAGGCGTGGGCCAGACGACCCCCACCCCACCGGCTGCCCCCGGCCTTGACTCCAGACTGCTGGCCTCCACACCACAAGAGATGCACTCCTGTTGTCTTAAGCCGCCAGGGTGGTGGTAATTAGTAACAGCAACCACGGAGACTAAATCACTTCTCTTCCCCAAACTAGGGCTCAGAAAGGCACGTGCTTGCCATTGGGTCTTCCAGTAGCCGCCTCCACATTCTGGGTTCTGGCCAGAAGTGCCCAAACTGATGGAGACAGCCCAGCGTGGCAGAACCCGGGAGAAACCCAGCCCCCTGCCCTCCTTTCTTGGCCCCAGCGAGCGCCCTTACAATAGAACCTGTTCAAAGCGCAGGTGGCTTTGCACGCCTCCATTTGTTAACCTGCTCCACGACTCCTGCCGGGGAAAAGATCAATTAAAGCAGCAATTGCCACTGGAATTTCACAGAAGTCACACGCGGGCCTGGGGCCATGTAACGGGAACCTGTGATACAGGGGTGTGGTTGGCATCCGGCAGCTGGCGTCGCCCTGCCTAGACCCCCGCCATCTCAAGCTCTGCGTTGACTCTCAGCTCCTGCCTAGCTAGTGAGTCCCGATGTTTCTCACTTGTTTCCTGCAAGCGCCCACCCCCTTCCCTGAGAGCGGGCAGCACCCAAGCCTTGTTGTTCAGTCGCTCAGTCGTGTCCAACTCTTGCAACCCCATGGACTGCAGCACGCCAGGCTTCCCGGTCCTTCACAGTCTCCCAGAACTTGCTCAAACTCATGTTCATTGAGTCAATGATACCACCCAACCATCTCATCCTGTCACCCCCTTCTCCTCCTGCCCTCTATCTGTCCCAACATCAGGGTCTTTTCCAATGAGTCGGCTCTTCACATCAGGTGGCCAAAGTGTTGGAGCTTCAGCTTCTGCATCAGTCCTTCCACATATTGAGTGTGCTTTAAGCTCTCAACCGTAAAGGATCAGATTCCTCAAATCGTTCATACCCAGAGACAGAGTCCTTCCTCTCACAATGGGTTCCCAGGAGACAGTGAAGGGCTCCGCAATGCCAGTTTATCAAACTACAATGAGAAATAGTTAGGCTCAACTGTGTGAAGTTGCGAGTATTCAAATGCTTTCTACCTAGAAGAGTGGCAGTATCCTAAGGCTTAACAGTAACCTCAGCTCAGAGATCTGGAATGCTCAGATCCGTGTGGCCACGGTTGTGCCCTGCAGCTCCCATACGCGGGAAACCCAATTATAATCAAAGAGGTACTTGGTGAACGATGAGCAGGAGTGAGATTTCTGGGTGGGGTGGGACAATGAGAAACAAAAAAGCAGGCCATGACAGCTGTCAGCTGGGAGCTGGCCTGGCCCTCGCCGCTCAGCCGTGGGGTTCTTTTGTTGAACAAACACAATTTCACTGAACACCAACATCGAACAAGGTCACTCTGTGACCAGGATGGGGAGAAAACAAGGCCACTCCATAGTCATGATTGAACACAGACAAAAAAAATAATAAAATAAGCATAGTGTTTAAATCACCAAGTGACCACATATCCCTTCTTCCCACCTGGCATGACAGCCATTTCTCTCCAATTACAATCACACATAAAATGTGATGCCCAGTCATACCCAGTTTCAATATTCTGGGTTCCAATCCAGAACAATTGCCCCAAACAAGCCTAAATCCTAAAGGAAGCCCCACCACCACCTCCAGTCCCCTTACTCAGACTCTCCAAGTTTCCCCACAAGACATCGTCATCTCCCTGGTGGCCAATACCAAGAAACCCAGCTTTGATCAACCGTCCCTCTGTTGCTGGTCTGTCTGGCTCCTGGGCGTTGCCAACAGCATCAGGCTCTGCCAGCCCAACCTGGCAACTCTGCGCCAAGGGTCAGCTTGCCACTCTACAGTCACCGTCACCACGCCCAGCATAATCACGTCCACCATCACCCCCACAGTCCCCACCACCCCTCTGCTAAATGATTCATGTGCATGTCATCTTTTCATCCCTCTTCAACTCACGGGGATAAGCCCAGTTATCTCCGTTTCCCTAAGAAAAGCTATGGTGGCTCAGAGAGGTTAAGTAACTAGCCCAAGATCACACAGCTAGTAAATGGTCAAGAAGCGGCTTGAAACCCCGGTTGCCATGTACCCTCACTGCTTCCCACCCAGCAGCGTGCCCCAGGGCTAGACTGAGACGTACCATGCCCCCTCCCCATTCCCCTCTGCCCTCGGTATGAGCTGCCCTTTGCTCGGAGATGAGCTGCCAGTAGCTGCTTCTGTGACCGCCTTGGGCAATCCTGGCTGACCTGCATCTGACTTGTAAACTGTTGTGTTTCTTTAAGGTGGCTTTGCACATGTTGGCTCTGGCCTTGCGTGTAGGTTTCATAATTTAACTTCTACAAGAAGACTTTATTTCCTCCATATCCAAGTTCTCGAGTCTCTCTCCCCGTTGCCTCCATGTGCCAAATGCAGTGAACACATAAATTCTTCCTGGAGCCAAGAATAGAAAGTAAGATTTATGACTTTCAATCTATTACTGTAACCAGCAGGATCTCTAACTCCCCATATCCTTTATTTCATGACCGTATTTTTCTTCATAAATGGCCCCTTTTTAAGATGCTCAGCTGTTGGGCTAAGAGGCCCAATGCAGAGTTTTAAATTCAGATGATTCAGGCTGAGAATATACTCAGCATCTGAACTATGGTTGAAAAATACCCTTTTTATATGCTTGAGTGAGTCCAGGACAGCTTAAAGGATTTTCTTCAATTTCAAAAAAAAAAATAATTCACTTCTGGACTGATGAAAAAAGATGATAAATTTCTACACAAAAGTCATGCCTTGAGAGAGAAAAGCTTACGTGGCTGGGAAAACCCGAGGTTTTGAAAAAAAAAAAAAAATGCAGCCCAGCCTGCCAGCAAGGCTTCCACGGGCGTCAAGTGTCCGTCAAGGGTGTTTTCCAGAGAGTCAGGCTTAGGTGGGGCTAGGGGAGTCCCGAGGCTGAGCTTCCCTCTTCAGATGTGTGTGTGTGTGTGAACACTCACTCAGGACAAAGAAACTGTAATTAGGCTGGCCATAACGTATTTTAAATTATATTTGACGTTATCAAATGTGAAAGGAGGACATTTTTGGTTAGGAAAAGTGGAATGGGCTCTTGGTACCGCTTACAGGCAGTGCCCTCTGCCCCCCCATGCTGTGGGGACGTCTGGAGGTGGCCTGCATCTAGAAGCATCTCCAGAAGTCCTCAGAAGACGCGTCACGGGCTGTGGTGGCTGCTCCCGCCTGGGCCCCTGGGTGCCCAGCGCTTGGAGCTGTGAGCGCCGTTCTGACCGTAGCGATGGTTTCCTGTGGCTGTCTGTCCCCAGCTCTGGGCCCGGCCCCTGACGCCGCCTCCCAGACCTGCTCTCCAGCCCGGGTCCCCTCCAGCACCCCCCCAGGAGGGAGGCCAGGAGAGGCCGAGCCACGTTCAAGCGTTCCTGAGAAAAACCTCCAGACCAGGTCAAAGCTTCCCTCGTGGCCTGAGTACCCTGCGACTCTTCTCTTCCCTCGATGCCTCATTTGGAAGGAAACACAAACTTGACGGCTCCACAGAACCCTGGTCTCATCTGCTCTGCTCAGAGCCAATGCCCCCTCCCTCCGTGCGAAAAACACAAACACAAACGGAGAGCAGCCAACAGTCCCCAAAGACCCCGGACAGCTGCCGGGAGAAGAGGTGCGCTGTCAGACACAGCCAGGAGGCGGTCTTGCTTTCCTTTTAGTATCGCACGGTGGTGACTGCGGAACAAAAGCGCTGGAAGGCTCCCCGTCTCACCACCCGCCTCTGCAGCCCTGTGGCGCATGGGATGCTCGCCACCCCCGATGCAGCATGGTGGGCCGCGCCAGTGTCTGCTCTGGCCCCGAAACGTCAGACCCTAGGAGCAGAGGGCGTGGGCTGGCCCCTCCTCGCAGCCCCCAGGCCCCGCACCCACCCGCGCCCACCCCCACCCCCACTCATCTTTGCCCCCCTCCCTGCGCTCATCTGATCCAGTGAGGGGTGCCCCCCGCGGACCCCCCCAGACCCTCATCGCCCCAGGGGGGCGCCTCCAACACAGGCTCGGGCAGGAGCCGCGTGGCCCAGACGCATCAACGCCTGAGCAGCCGCCCCCCCCCCCCGCCCCCCGCCATATATTGATTTTTGTTACAGCCGAGAGGCCCATCCAATTAAAAAGCATCACCCGCCTGTTCCAAGTCTTCCTTCTTGCCAAGTGTCTTTGCG